CCACCAGAAATCTCAACTTTATTTGCTGTTCTTCCCTGCAAACTCTAACCGCAAACATCGTCTCCTGACAGACTCTAAGCTACAATCATGGCTTCTGACGACGCAGGATTCGAAATGTCTGACAACTTTGGTCTTCAACGTCCCAATTTTCATATTGGATACCACGACTCAAAGCGCGATGAGCCCCTCACCGATATGCAGTATGGCCATCTGCTGAACCATGGTGTAAGTCGCAAGCTTTCCACGCCAAAGACCTTGATATTCTATATATAATATATGGCATATACTCGTGAGGATGCTCGGGGCCACCGATTGACTCTTGGACAGCTGGCCTTTGCGACGACTCCCATCACAAACACTCACTTCCGAGACCGTGTCTTTGCTCTCGTTTCTGAGCATCTGTCCACTCTATCCGAAAATGGGGAGAAGCCTACTACCAGGGCAACTGGCTCACGAGCAGAGCCCATTTTGCCTCCTTTGACTCCTAAGGACACCGCTCTGTTCCCCAGTGCTGCTGTAAACACCTACACTGCAGTCATCAGCCCCTGGCTCGACCTTGGATCTTCTAACCCCATCATCTCAAGCATCTCCCGCCAGGTCCTCAACGTGGAGATCAACTATGCCAACTTTTGCGGTGTGAGGAGTATCATGATTCCTGCCCCTCGACAGGATGCTTCTATCGACGGCGGCAACCAAAGTCTTGCCCAATACGCACGAGCTGTCGAGGAGGCTCTCACAGTTGGGAACCGACTCACTTTCTTGATTCACATGCCCATGTATCGAGAGCCTGGCCTTGATGCAGAGACGGCCAACATCTCCTCCCTTGATGTTAAGACTCTAACCAAGACCGAAGGAAAGGAGATCGATCTTCTGGCCGCTTGGGATTCGTGGCATCATGTCCGAAGCGTCTGCAACTACAACACTAGACTCTTTGTTGGTACGCTCACATCAACCCCCAGAATCTTTCATGAATGCTAACCTGATAAAAAGCCTTGCAAATTCCGCGTGTTATGCCCGAGAAGGATCTTCAGGATCGATGGTTTGCTGAGCCTTTGCACTACCTTACATTCAGCCCTGCGACTTTCCAGGCCAACAAGGCTGGTTTCCCATCACTGTCTAAGCACCACCAGAATCTCATATTCTCGTACATGCGCTTGAAGAATGTCCCATGGATTTTGCTTTGTGACGTTGGCCCTGATGTTTCACACCTTAAGGATGGTGAACAGTCTCTGCCAACCGCTCAAAACGATTTCCCTAGCCTGGCCGAAGCTGAGGCTCAGGGACAGTCAAACAAGACCAAAAACAACGACTATATTTCATACCTGCGATGGCTCGAGGACCAGCAGCCACCATTTAGCTACCTCGAGAGCCCAACCTTGACCAGCTTCCAAGACTGGCTTCAGTCACCTCTCCAGCCCCTGTCAGACAATCTCGAGTCAGCAACTTATGAAGTCTTCGAGGGTGACCCTGTCAAGTATAGCCAGTACGAAATTGCCGTGTTTGAGGCTCTCACAGAATGGAAGGAACTCAAGAAACCCACCTCTAAGGACGGCAAGGTTGTCGTCGCTGTTGCTGGTTCTGGTCGTGGCCCTCTCGTTACTCGAGCACTCAAGGCGTCTGAGGATGCCGGCGTTCCTATCGATATGTGGGCGGTTGAGAAGAACCCCAACGCCTACGTCTACCTTTTGCGCCAGAATGACCTCGTCTGGGGTGGCAAGGTCAAGGTTGTCAAGACCGATATGCGAGCATGGAAGGGTCCTATCATCTCTGAGGATGAGAATGGACCTGTATATGGCAAGGTTGATATTCTCATCTCTGAGCTTCTTGGTTCATTTGGTGATAACGAGCTCTCTCCCGAATGTCTTGATGGAATCCAGCATGTCATGTCCACACCACATGGAATCTCTATTCCCAGCTCTTACACCGCTCATCTGAGCCCCATCTCAACACCCAAGATCCACGCTGATATCCTCTCACGAGTTTCTGGAGATCCCAACGCTTTCGAGACACCTTGGGTTGTTCGCCTTTTTGCTCTCGACTTTGTTGCCGAGAAAGTGCCCAACAAACCCAGATTCCAGGAAGCCTGGGAATTCTCTCACCCCATTCCCGAATCTTCACTCGCTGCCCTGGAGGCCAAGCGCTCTGGCGGCGTCGTGGGAGGTGGCGGTGGTAGCATGGCTGGGGCAGCTGGTGCCAATGACCACAACTCACGATATACTCACCTCACATTTGTCTGCCGGACAAGAGGTGTCACTCATGGGTTGGCGGGCTACTTTGAGTCGACTCTATATGAGTCTCAGATTGCAGAGAACAAGGGAGAGAAGATTGAAATCAGCACACATCCTGAGCGTATTGATGAGAAGAGCAAAGATATGATCTCTTGGTTCCCCATCTACTTCCCCCTGAAGGTGAGCTCCCTCTGCAGCAGGTATCGAAGCGTACTAACAGAATTACAGAACCCCCTCTACTTCCCAGCTGATACCGAGCTTGAGGTTAGCATGTGGCGACAGACAGATGATACCAAGGTGTGGTATGAATGGCTCGTCGAGGCTTTCACATGGGTCAGCCCAACAAGCCGTGTCAAGGTTGCTTCCTCAGATCTGTGCAGCAGTCGCCAAGTGGCATGCCTGATGTAGACGGATGACCTGGATTACGATGAGAAGGACTGGCTGGGATAAACGATGTGACGAAAGAAAAGTTTTGCTTATGAGTTTGAAAAGATTACAAGTCTTGGGGTATGGAGACAGCCGTCGCTTGAAGTGCCAAGTGGCTGTAGCTAGGATACAAGCTAACTGTTATTCGCATGATGGTTTACCATTAGAGGAAATCACATAGAATATTGAAGACCGCTACGAAGCTGGAAGGACATCCTTAGCTTTGAATATCTACATTGGCTGCCCTTGTGATGGAGTAACAGGCGATCAGCTCATGTACTACGATTCATGCTATTGCTCTGTCGACTGTAGTCCTGTACAAAACGACACTGAAGATCATTTAGATACACACGATGAGCATTGAGACATGTTGCCTGCCATAGTCTTCGTTGTTGGTCTATTCACATGCTATGTCATGTTCCACTAGACCGAGCTTCAGTTGAAGTCGATGTCGGTCAACTTCCGATCAATGCACATGCTTTGTCTCACCTTGTAGGACACTTTACCTGGTCATTCGGGGAGTATAGGTGCCTGAGAGATGCATCTACGGCTCGGTGGACGGGAAAGGTGATGATGCATACGGTGATACAAGACAAGGTCATGGTTGACTCGCGATATACTCCTCGCCTCATGAGACGTTTAATATGCAGAATTAACATGCCATGTTCAGGTATGAATAGAGTCGCAATGATCCTGTTGTCCGACAATATTTGACTTTATGAAACAAGCCTTCCCTTCCACCGATGAATTGTGCACATCATGACATGTCCATGAGAGGCCATAGGAGTCTGTAATCACAGTACTGACTGTAACTGAAGCGCCTCTGATGTATGCTCATTACAAAATCTGGTAACAAGGCTTCTTCCTAGCCCCTTGAATGCTGCCCGTGGTATCTCGATACATTGGATTGTCTGAATATAGCAAGACATGGCGACACACAAAACGCGGGGGAATTTAGAGTAATTGCGCCTTGATCGTCGCGGTGCACAAACCCCAGATTCTTACGTAAAATTGCCTTTAACCTCATTAGTGACCGGCAAATAATTAACACACCATAAAGTAGAGTGAGGTACTGCCCTACGAGGCGGCTCTAGACTCACTCTCTCATCATGGCCAGTCTAAGTCAAAAGCCGGTATAACCCGGCGTCCAAGCTCGCTCGCACCATTTCCATCGGCAAGACTCGGTCAAGCCCTGTAATTTTTCAGAAGAATAATTATGGAGTCAAACATCGTCATTCATCTGATCAATCCCATCCTTCTCCAATTTTCCATGTGGAGTTCGGGTTATTAATTTATTATTTTTGACCTTAGTTAACCAAGGTACGGATATATACTCATGAGAATCCCGGTGCCGGAGCCGGAACCGGGAACCGAATCGTGCATGTATTTCCCCAGAAAGAGAAGGAAAAGGGAGCCTCATTAACAATTGACTTAAAGTAGACGCCGGTGGGCACTAAGAAACTGTGAATGAAAATCTTCTCAGGTCCCGGCAGAGGCGCAGAAGAGGAAGAGGAAGAGCCGGGCCCGGGTATGAGCCGACTGGAAAGCCCTTGGAAATAAACCAAGAGAACAGTTCGTGAGAAGACGGGTTCTACAGGTGCCAAGGATTGTACAACGCCTGTTGACCAGGGCGAGTGGCATGTCATGTTGCATACTTGTCATGACACTCTACAAACATGGCGAGACATCACGGTCAAGACATATCACGGCGAAAACATAGGATATCGATGTAATAGTATAGACTTTTTCCCCCCTCTGGTATTGAATATTTCTACCAAAAAACAACTCCTTTGCTTAACGCCGTGGTGCTCTGGTGCTCCTTGCTTGCTGTTAAAGCTTCGCAGGTAGGTCTCCAACTATCCAGAAAGAAATGGCGTTGACGCCAGTCGAGAACAAAAAGCACGGAGGTCGCAACGTTCTCCGCAGCCGGGGGGTATTCTCTATGTAAAACCCCGACTTTATTTGCTTTTCCCCGTTTTCTCCCTCTTTCTTGGTGCATATGCTAGCCCCTCGTTTCACATGACGCTCCTGGCGGCATAGTACCGTAGTGCCCTAAGTGGTATATCGAAGTGAACTGCAGTTGGAAGCATTGTCCTGTTCTGCGTGTCTCGATGAGAAGGGGTTGCGTACCCCTCCCTGAAATGCACAAGTGAAGTTGATCACTATGTGCATCGTCACTCGGCGTCCCCGTATACTATGTCGTGCAGGATATATGCTCCAGGCAGTAGGCTCTGGCTCTCGTCATAATCTGCGCGTCATTGTAGGTATTCATTCGTTCATCCCGTCTCTTTTTCTTTTCATCCCACCGCTCCACCTACAACTCCTCGCCTGTGGCGGGAGACATATTTAACCGAAGAGAGCAGCGCCGCCGGACTCGATAGCCTCGATCTCAGCGGCGTTGAGGGGAGCGCGGTGGAAGCGAGTGGGGAGCTCAGAGACGTCAAAGGCAACGCCCTGAGGAGGCTTGACGGAGCCGAGGGAGGCAGCGGGGGTTCCGCCGAAGCCGGACTTCTGGAGAGGACCGTGCTGCTGGACGTGGTCGCGGTAGGAGCTGAATGACTTGTGGGTGGTGGCAGCATCGCCGTTTCCGTAGCCGGACCAGGACTCGGGGAGCTTCTCGACTCCGGAGGCAGGGTGAGGCTTGGGGGTGTGGTCGACGTTGGCTGCGGAGGACGGTATTAGCTTAGGTATGCTGAGGGGAAGTAGACGGCATTGCTCAATACCAGCCAGCGGGTTGACATACAAGGAATGGTTCGAGGACCGAGGAACTTGATGAGAGGAGTACGCTCAGCGTGGACAGCAGCCTGTCGGAGGGCTCGAGTAGCAGAGAACATTGTGACGGATGTTTGGGTGGTTGGTGGTTGGCGGTTGGTCGGGATAGTTCGGTAGACGTTGATGCTGATGAGGTCGAAGAGTGAAGAGCGTGTGGCTTGCTAAGATGAGAGAAGACGAAGATGTAATGCAATTGGATTAAGGAGAAGAAGAGGGAAGGGTTAAAGCAAGAGTCGAGAGTGGGAGAGGGCGCGATTATGTATTTGAGGAATTTTTTGGGTTGGGTTGGATGGGATGGAGTGAATGGAGGTTAGCTTAGCTCAGGCCAAGGTAACTCTCAGCCAAGCCCACCTCAGTCCAGGTCCTGGTTGATGGACTATACCGCGCCGAAGCGTGAGGTCGGGTGTGGTATGGCAACCCACGCACGCACGCACAGACTCCAGAGACTCAACTCAGGTCACTTACAGGGAACGTCCCTAGGCAGCTGCTAGTGGCTTCTGTTAGTGGCAGTCCCGTCAAAATGGCGCGAACTGGGCCCAAGCGAGCTAAAAAGTTTGAGAATCCACATCCACCAGGAAAAAAAACCTTGACACGACCAAGAGAAACAGACAGAGGGGGAAAACAGGCCACAATTGGTGGCAATGAGCTGCATGTCCACAGAACAACACGTTACCCACACCCAGAAATCAGAAGCAACTCTGCTCAAATAAAAGAGTGGGATGAGTTTGTTGACTTTCCCTCTTTCCCCAGTGGCACAGCAGAGACATCCAACGATAGAGTTGCCCAAAGACGTGGGATATACGTTAATCGACATGGGGGGCCATGGATGCTACAGCTACAGCTACAGCAGGGCCAAAGACTCCGCTACCTCGCATGTGCATTCACTTGCATTTGCCATGAGAGAGGGAGCGAGAGAGGGAGACCAGATTTACTTGTGACAGTCAGTCTCCGATGGACGGCCTCAAAGAAGTTGATCATACGCTGAGAGAGGATGGTGATCATCCCTTCACAAAACCCATCTTGCATGAGTCGAGACAAGTCGGTCATTGATCCCGTCGGCCGATATACCGTCCTGCATTACAACACACTCCAGGCAATAGATGTCTGGGGTTAACGACCGGAGTTGGGCGGAATGGCGTGGTCCATCACCTTGAATCAACAGGGTTAAGCAGCCGTCTTCAAGGCTACAGCTTATTCACCTTGAGGTCAAAGGTGAATAGACACTAAAGCCAAGACAAATCCCCGAACCGATAACTCCAGGCACCGTAAGCAAACTCACTGGCATCCTCAAACCGAACCGAAAGTTGGAGTAGCTAATGCACAACTTGATGCTATTCACTACTACCCCAAACTCCGAACATGACCACCATCCTGACTGTAAGTTTGCAACCCGATGCACACACACATTGATCATCCACCATTTGCTGTCTTGAACATCATGGCACTTGGTTGGAGAAGCTCTCCCCCCCTTTCCGCCCCGGGCTTACCATTCATACACCCCCTTCGCGTTTCCTCCGGGATTGGCAACAGAAACTCAAGAGGTTCGTTTGCGCGGGGGAACACACATTGCCTCTTTGGGAGAGAATGCTCGTCTGGGGCACGGCGTCCGGGGGAGAGTTTTGAATGTGTGGTTGGTGGAGGAGGTGGGTAGACTAGAGACTACCTAACCTTACCTTAGAAAGCGGACAGATGGGCGCGTCTACGAGTGATGATCGTTTCTCAAGTCGAGACGAGGCTGGAGGGTCTTGTCCTCTACCACTCTGCTGTATACATATACATCTGCTACGGCACATGGCTATGCTGGTCTGTACAGCACAAGCGAAGAGCTCCGTGCCGTGTCCGTGCCATCCGAGGCTGGTCATTGACGCGATCTCACCAAACAAAGGCCTCAGTCCTCAAGGGAAACAAAAGCTAAGGCCACGTCCATGTCATTGCTGAACCCTACCTACGTAATTGAGGTGCTTCCCCCCTGGTCCGGACTCCGAACGCGAAACGTTGTTGCGCTGGGTGAGTTTAGCTGCCGCTCTATGCGGAGCGGAGAGGAGCGGAGGCACATGGTCTAGGCAGAGCTAATGTAGGGCCTAAGACGCCGACTTACAAGCGTGAAAAGACCAGCGTTACAAATTGGAGAGGAGGGCCAGACTCCAGGGGAGGGAGGGAGGTAATACGGGGGGAGTGGTAATGCCGAATAGCGAAGGATTCAGCGAGCATTGGAAATCATCCTGATTGATAATGGCATTCGGAGTTGGTAACATACTCATCTGTTTACAGATACTTACGACTCAAGACTATGACAGAATAAGGACAAGTGGACTAGATATTTA